ACTATGGAGAATGTCTAGAAATAACAAATTGTACATTATACAGTTATAAAAGACAAATTACATTATTGAAATACAAACTTGTCAATGATGCATTTATAAAACATTTCAACTTGGTAACATGTTTCAGAAATGAAGGAAAATGTGGACCTTTCAACGGAGTCCTCAATTCATTTTCACTTGACACGAAGATGATGAAAGCGAAGACAGAGTACAAAGATGTCGAACTGCAACTGAGATTTCTCAGTACAGAGGTAAAAGGGGAGAATAGTACCATTAGTCTTTATTAAGCTATTAGTCCAGGTCAAAAAGGCTTCAGCAGACATGAAGACTAAACATTAGAGAATAAATGAAATATAGATTTGTTTAGCTGTTAACATACACTGTTATGAAGAAGTATATAAATACAGTGTCACGGGGTGTGAATGTGGACCCAAACGCAGGCGGAGACCAGGGAGTATGGGTGTAAAGGTTTATTGACCAGGAAACCAAGGGGGGAAACAACCAGAGCACAGCGGGAAAATCCAGAGAGGGTGAGGGTGGAATCCAGGCAGGAGGAGGTAGGGCAGGGCAGGCAGACTGGGGAACCAGGAGGATGACAAAACTGTGGGAACAGGGAGACAGGGTCAATGCAATGAAAAAACACTGGGGAGAAAACTCTGAATTATTCTCAAAACAGAGCGGCCAAGAACAACTAACTACCACGTGAGCTGTAACAACGATCTGGCAAAGAGTGGATGAAGAACCGGTGTAGATATACTGTTGAGTTGATGAGTTGATGGAGTGCAGCTGGTTTGACTGGGCAGGTGAGGTGAATTGTAATCAGGAAGCCGGGAGGAGACCAGGTCGGAGCCCTGCCCATACGACACACACCCACACACACACAGGACAAGCAGGAGGCACGGCCTGGCCGTGACATACAGTAAATGTCAGTAAAAACTGGAGACACCCTTTGAAAAATGATCTGCTGCTGCAAAACTGATGACCCTGACTATATTCATGACAACGTACTGGAGATTCTGAGGTGGTCTGACTACGATTCATATTCTCTCTCTTAGGAAGAAAAGATTAAGAAAAAACTCAACAAAATCATCCGCGAACGTAAGAAAACGATCTACAGCAGTCTGACGACAACAATTGAGACAAACATGCAGAAATGCTATGACGGTACGATAAAGATCATGACAGATAAAACCTGACACTGTAAAAATGCACATTATTCATAATTGTGCAGAATGTAATTATAATACAATTTAATTGACGAAAGTTTTCTGTTTTATTGTAGATGCAAAAAAAATTAAAGGACTGGGCACGCTGAGTAAAATGAGAGAAACTATTGTGAACCACGTACTTGGGTCAAAAAACGTCATGTTTCAGAAAGCTAAAGATGTTATGTTGAAACAGCTGGATGACTTGATGGTTTGTAACATTTTATAATACGTTGTACGATGAGGATATAGTAAAACATGTTGTGCTGCTTATTTTTATCTACAATTCTAGGTCATCATATATATAATCAAGTGGAATATGCCTCTTTTTGAATGCTGCTTTTACTACTAAAACACTGCAGGCCCTTTCACAAACATTCAGCTATTGTTATAAGACATTTTGGCTGTGAGTGATAAAGATTTTTATGCTAATTTAGAGGGACATCCTGGACGATCTGGAAAAAACGATGCAGGAATCAATCGAGCTGTCGCTCAAGACTGATGGTGTCTCAATCCCAGGTAAAGGCAACGTTACAAAATAATAATATGTTCACTAACAAGGACCACACCAATAACAGTATGAGTTTCGAGAGGTTTATTGCATAGTGGAATGATTGTTGGATTCAAGAAGCGGAAGGGGTCGAGGGATGAAGGGGAGTAGGGTAGAGGGATGATGGGATGTGGGGTAGGGATGAGGGGTAGGGGTCGAGGTAGAGGGATGTAGGATAGGGGTAGAGGAATGAAGGGATGTAGGGTAGGGATGAAGGGATGTAAGGAAGAAGAAACTAGGAGGGTTTGTAGGAAGGAGGTTAGGCGATCGAAGGTGGACCGTTGATGTCCGGCGGCCGGCGGGAACGGAGATTTGTAGGGTGGGGGCTGTCTCTTCGGAAGCTCTGGCAGTGCAGAGTCCCCAAAGATAGCTCCATAAAGACTGATGCTGATGGCGTTTCAGGTGTCGTTCGGGTTGGAATGAACTTATGAGAGGTATGTGGGGGAAGGCCAACAATCACGTATCTTGAGGATGTGGTCGGAAATTCCTTGGCTTGAAAAGCGCTGGAGGCGGCGCTGTGTAAACTCGGGGGGTATGATGGATCGGCCCAAGATATGGCAAAAGTAATGGTGAGCCCGAGTCCGCAACAGGGGATCTTGCTGGGAGTTCGGCTGGTTGAACTTGAGCTTAAGTAGTCGCGGATGGGTTCGTACAGACTTGAGTACGAGTCTGGTCGGACAAGGTAGATGGGTTGAGGTGGACCGTATTGGTTGGTCTTGTGGCGTTGAGTTGATAGACGACTGTTTCGGGAGGATGGATGTGATGTCTGACGCGGTGGCGTCTCGGGACGGATGGAGTTCAAGGCGGTGAACTCGGAGCAGCGAAAGAAGCTGGCAAGAAGGTGGACTTTAATGCTTTGTCCATAGATGACCTGAGCTGAGGGTGAGGATGCCGCATGTGAGGAGGTCCGAAGTGAGGGGCAGCCGTTTAGGCGTATTTTGGCTTTACGGACCTTCGAGTAGCATGGCGACGTGTGAGTGGGTAGGCTGGGCACGGAGCCCTGAGGACAGTTTGTGTAGAAGTTAATTCCGCTTATGTAAACAGGTACGATGAGAGCTTGGGGGCGATGTTTAGGTTGCCATCTGCGCTATATTATGAGTGGATGGCAATGGTCTTTAATGGACCGTTCATGCCCCAAAGAATGGCTACTATGACTATGGGATGCTTTTCGTAGATCGCGGAGGAAGGTGTGGGGGATGAGAATTCACGCGGCCAAGGACCGATTGTCATTGTAGAAGCCGTCAAAGCTGATCGAGGGTGCTGCGTCTGTGAAAAGCTGGATGTCTTCTGGCTTGGTGATGTGTTCGTCGTGGAAGAAGGAGATGCCGTTCCGGGAGGAGAGGAACTGGTGTCAGTTTAGCTCGGTTTACGTGCTTCGTCAAGTGTGATGTAGTCATGGAGGTTTGTAACGGCGGTGGCGACTAACGGGATGTGTGGCAAGGAGGATTTTGTTTAATATATGGATTCTATTCATTTATTTTATCTGGTGGAGGAAAGCTGAGTGTTTAGACCGTGTGCTGGGTTTGAAGAAGGTAGCGTGACAGTGAGGAAGTCGTGTAGGTCGGTGATTTTCACCCCTGAGCCGTAGCCCGCCGGTGTGCCGTGACAGATCGTCAGGTAGGCTGTGGGAAAAATATCCGGATTTGCTTAAATCGGTCCAGAAATAATATATATTAATTGGTTGCTTCGAATAATTTGCCATGGTTGAGCGTCTGGCCCTGCAACATAGTAGCTGGCTACGTAATTAAATACACTTCCATGCCAGTGGGTGGCAGTAGGTAGCACGATAATGACCGTGGTGATTAAGACAGTAGAATTAAGTGATGCACCGAGAGGTTGCGGTGACAAGACATTTTTCCGGATTCAGGTAAGCAAATTTTCCAGCTGCTCTTGGACGGACGCATGGCAGAGTAATACGCGTCCTTCCGAAGGAAACCGAAAAGGTACTGGTAGTCGGGATCGGTGGTAAGGGCTTGGAGGTGCTGGTGATGTCTGCCTTAGGTGACCGGCTTCTTCGCCTGCGAGGCGGATGGGTAACGTGGCATGATCGATTCTTATGTACTTCGTGGAGTAGTCCAGGCTGGGAATTAGGTGGAGCCTGGTGATGTCTGCGCAGGTGGGGAGTGGCTGGTAGAGTGCAGCGGCCGAGCTTGGTTAGCAATTCCCAGGAGATGTGGGGATTGCTTGTGGATGGCTTGATAATTGGGCGAGGTCCATGTGGTTACCGGCGATCGATAGCTCTGTGTTGTGTTGAATGGAAAGGCAGGAGCGAGGGAAGAGGAAAAGATGCTGGGATGAAGGGATGCATGTGGAGGGTTGGAAGTGCAGATTGGGGAAAGGAGGCTGCAGGATGAGATATCCCTGATGCAGAGAGAGTAAGGAGGGGGTGTGATACGAACTGGCCCTCTAGAGGGCTGGTGTGAGTGACTTGGCTTGTCTGGGCGTGTTGTGCGTTGTGACATCGTTGCCGTAGCGCCTCATGCTGGTGGCTCGGCGTACGAGGGAGGTGTAGTGCTGAGCGTCCGTGAGCAATTTGAAAAGTTAGCTTTTCTGTCGGACAGGTGGAAATGGATGTTGCTCGGAAATGCGGGATGTATGGGGCCATCAGAGCGTTGGCGTGGGGGAGAAGGGTCGCTGTGGTTTTGGCCGTTGTTCGAGCTGCTGGATCTCAAGGGGGTGGAAGAGCGGCGTTGTGGAGGGACAATATCCCTCTGGGATCTCCTCCTGGGGTTGATCTAAGGCAAAGTACCGACGACTTCAGAATTGTCTGAGGATAGGGTTAGCTGTGGCTAAAAGTGAAACTGGTGTGGGGGGGGGGGATAAGTCAGAGGATGCTGGAATTGTCTGCTGGCGGAGCTGTGGAAATGGGGAGGCGCGTTCAAGATGGGATGGCAACGCTAGTGGGGGTAGGGGTGGAGGAAGGGGGGGGGGGCATAGGCAGGAAGAATCTACTGTTGCGTCCCTGGCAAGAAAACCGACCCCGAGCTGCTCCCTTAGCTGTGCCGTATACCTACCTGTTCTGTTCTGTTGTTGGAGCGGTCTGTGCAGCTGGGGTAGCTGGTGGAGGTGGGAGGAGTTAGCCGAAGTTGGCTGAGGTGGGTGGAACATGGAAGGTAGAAGTAACAGGACATGAAATGATGCCAGGATGGATGTGCCTGGGTTAATCGTGGAGTTAGGGGAATAAACATTGCGAGGCGATGTCTCCGGCGCGGGGGGGAGCTTGACGGCCAGAGTCAGTATGGCATGGGACAACTTAAGGCAGGACGCAGTCGACTGCCCTTCTCTAAACGCATCTAAGTTGGGGCCAACAGCAGACTGGAAGCAGCAGCCTAACTTACGCTAAAACACCTTCTCCTACTGAACGCCGTATATCTGACTCCCGCATGCAGTTGACAGATATTTAATCGTGGCTCGTCTTGAAGAGGATCGATTCATAGCCTTGGTACCGGTCTCCCTAATCGGGTACTTATTGGCCTTATTAAGCTCAGGTTAAAGATTCACGATCAGAGTATACAACCTGGCCCTCTGGAGGGACTGATGTAGACAGATGGGCTTCTTCCGCCGTGTGATGCGTCATGACGTCATCGGCGAGCGCGTGACGTGACGCCGGGAACCTGGAAGTGCTCTGGAGGCTCGGAGAGCGAGAGAGGTGTTGTTGTGCAGGTGCTTGAATAGTTTGGAAAGTTGCGCTTTTAACAGACTGATGTAAAGGAATGTTGCGCTGGACGATTGCTTTCTTCGTTTGAGAGACTGTCCACTCGGAGAAGTGGAATATATGGAGACTGTCGGGGCCTCGGAATGGTGAATGAGGGTCGCGGTGGTTTCACCGGTCGTTCGAGCGCCTGGAACTCCGGCTGTCGGGAGAGCGGCGTGGGTGAAGAATTGAGAGGATTAGGGTCAAAGGATGGGATTCCGAATCGGGATCTCCCCCCCGGGCTGTTGGAAGGCGGGGGCGGACGGCTTCGGAGTTGACGGAGGATGGTTATCGAGAGCTACGGGGAATGTCGATGGCGTTGCTCGTCTGTCTTGCGCCGTATGAAAGCTTGAAGCTGAGTCGGAGAGCGTTTGCTCGTAGGGGTTGAGGTAGAGGGGATGTGGGGTAGGGATGGAGCGTTGCTCATCTGCTAAGTCAGAGAGCGTTGCTCGTCTGTCTTGAGTCGTATGAAAGCTGAGTCAGAGAGCGTTTGCTTGTCTGGATGTGGGGTAGGGATGGAACGTCTGCTGAGTTAGAGAGCGTCTGTCGTACGTCGTGTGAAGACAAGAGTCGAAGAAGTGAACGGTTTCGTTGTGCTTAAATACTCTGTGCAGAGGAAATGAGCTGTGTTCTGGGCGTGGCCCTGTTCCTGAACAAAGTTTATAAAACTGCATATAATCACTCAAATTACTCAAATTATTTGATTGAAATTAATAGGTCAACAAATTTCCAATAGTGTGATTAATAGGGAACTTGATGTCAACATTATGGTTTTTTTTTTTAGACTTTACATTGGAACTTGTGATGGTGAAGAACCACTACAAACAACTGCAGGGAAGCCCAGATCAAGAACCACTAATTTGGTAAAACTGTTGTTAAAATATCTACATAATGCCTCCAGATTGAGCTGTTCTGGATAATGCTAACGATGCTTTCATGCAGCAAAGGTCCCCAGTCTGATTCAAACCAGGTACATTGTGGTTTACACACTGTACAGGTCTTAGTCACCAGTCCACCATGATGTCCCAGATACATTTTGTTTTAATGATTTCACATTTTTTTCTTCTTGAATATATACGTTTTTTGTCCAATTTATCGTAGTTTAGTATTGGTTGATTGGGATTGAAATTCTAATGATTTTATGGGTGTTTAACATAAATCCTGAACCTTGATCACAGTACATAGTGTATGTTGGATTTTCAAAGAATGATCTGATGTTTTTTCTTTCTTGTTCAAGGACAAAACTTTACTACTGCAAAATAATGTTTTCTAAGTATGTTAATTCATATATCAAAAATTGGATAGAACTAGATGATAGTAATAAACCATTCTATCTGTTCTCTCATTATTTACTTAACAATTGTTTTTTCTTAATCTACACTGGTTCTAAATGAATTGAATGTATTTGACATGGTATACTGGCCAATAAAGTTCACTTTTAAATTGTCACATGTACTTTGGCTTCTTTGTCGTTTATGTTGTAAAATGATCTAAAAGCTTCTTTCTGTTCTGTAGAAAGATCGTAGAAAAGTATGAAAGCATAAAAGTATAGCTATTATAACCTGTAACCCTTTTGATTTCAAAGTATAACTAGCACAACATATAGCATGTTTAAACTTTTTATAACCATCATAATGTAAATTGTTTTATTTTATGATAGCTGTGATTTAACATATAAACTGTTTGGAGTTAGACACTTTGTTTAAAATAGTCACTTGAGCCTTACAGTGCTTCTGGTTCTAGCAGGATCAAACCAGTTACTACCAAT